CAAAATATCGAAATGAAAGAAGCTAAACAGACCCAAAATACATTATGGCAGTTATAGAGAGAGATTTTCCTCCTAGATTAGTACACTTAGAAAGCTCCATATAGAACATTTGATAGGATTGCCAGCCATCAGTTTTCCTTGCACTTATCCCTTTTCCCTCTTGACAATTTCCTCTGAATGTTGGAAAGAGAAATTTGGCCATTTGCCAAAGTTGTTCAGCAGTCCCTCATGATATAGCAGCCTGATACGTGGAAGCTACAGATCTGGTCCAGGTTACTGGACCTGTATACGGGGAACACAATATCTATGCAAGACACATGCATATGTATGGGGGAAAATGTTGCCAAACAGCTCTAACCCACCAGAAAGGAAAATTTGCTGTGATGTAGTAGTGCCACGAGAGATAGTAAGATGAATGAATACCTCCTAAATGAAAAGAGACATATGTCTCTTACATGAGACATATATGTCTGAGTCACTGTGCATGGGCTGCAGAGCCATTTTGAGTCTAATGCATCCAGGACTCACATTCTGCCCATATAGATCTCCCAAAGACAAAGACGTCCTAATTTTTTGATTTATAAATAATAAAGAGGTTAATGTAATTAAGCTGTGATTTAAATAAAACATATACTATCAAAAACCTGAAATTATTCATCTTGTTCCTGAACTAGCATAATTAATAAATAATAAGCAGTCATGCAATATGCTATAGATTAGACCTTAACCTTTGAAATGAGATATTTAATGATTAAAATAATTTGCTTTCATAATAGTGACATATGCATTCCTCAAACTTTGAGTGTACGCAGTCCAATCTGATGAGAGTATGACTGCAGTTAATCTGTAAGTAGTTATCCCATTAACTCTGGGGGATCAGTTGCTTCTCTGAGTGTAATGCTTGAAAGTATCAAAGACTCAATGTCTTACCTTGCTCTGTCCTGTAAGCTCCTATCTCAGTCACAGAATAATGAGGCAAGAACGGATACTGAAGTTATTTGTTTTGAAATACACAATTTTCATTTAGGAGGTATTACTCTCCCTCTCCCAGCAACTCCCTCAGAAGCATATCTGGCTTTGTAAGGCTCTGCTGGACAAAACAGTCAATAGCACCAAGGCCATTTTGCCAATCCCAGTAGACTACCAGCTTTAGCCACTGCATGCTTTAACTTGCCTGGATCCAGCTATGGAGAGATCCAAATGGAAAATAAGACTTTTCAGTCGGAAAAGTCTTAAGAGATATAACTTACTCCAGTTTTGATCTGTAAAGAAAAAAATTACAAAGGTTTCCTTTTAATCTCAGTAAAGGGCACAAAACAGATCTGCCTTCCTCTGGTCAAAAGAATTTGCTTTAGTTTTATTTGGAGAATATGAATGGAGTAAGCCAGGATAAACTGCAATTGTGATTAAAAATTAACATAAGCAAGAGAGAAAATGATACATTGTGACAGTACATGTCCAGGATCCCTGGAGTCTCTGGGCCTGGAAAGCTCACAGCTGAGCTGCCAGCCATCGCTGTAGCTGCTAAAAGGGAATGGACTTTTCCTTCAACTTTTGATGTCAATACGAGTAATTCTTGAATTGAAAAATGTTGTATGTATTTGCAACTGAAATTTGTTGCCTTATACGTAGAATTATAAACTCAGATATCATATTTGTAATGTTTTGCCATAAGAAATAGTTGGATTGCAAAGGAATATATATATGAAATACAGGGAAAGTGAAAAGCAAATGCAGACAGTGTCTATTTTTTACTGCTTCTAGTCTAAGCTATGGGTGTTCCAATCATTTTCAAACACTGATTCATGTCAGGAAATTAAAAGATGCATCAAAAACAGATAACTTCATAGCAGGCTTTTGGGGATAATGGAACAAAAAGGAAAACAAAATGAAGGAAGGAAAAGGACATAAAAAAGCAGATGAGAAAGAAATAGACTAGGAGGTATGGGTAGTAGGATTCATGGATAAAGCCTGGTGGAATAAATGCAAAAGGGTGTCTAGAACAGCAAGATATGCCATTTACGTATTAAAGTTCTAAACGGAATCTAAAAGATTCAATATTATCTAGTCTTTTTTAATGTTTTTTTTATAACTTGATTGGTAAACAAATATCCACCTACGCTGTTACACTTTTTTTTCTCAAAAATGTCATATTTCATATTTTAGGTTGAAAAATGGAAAATCTTATGTCAATTTATACTCTACTCTCAATTTATATTTTGTATTTAAGCTGTAGGGGAATGCTTATGATGTGTAGAATGTCTTTTTCTTCCTAAGTAGCTAATTTCACGTATTTATGCTGTATTGCTCATAAAAATATATGCTTAGATATTGCCCTGCATTAGGAAAAAGAGATGCCAGGCTTCTTGATTAGAGTAAGAATTGAGCTACGTTCAGCACAACCTTACTGGAAAAGGGCAGCCTTCTGGTACCAGTCTTGCATCTGCCTAAGTGCAGTAATAGACATGTTAGGCAGCTTATCTAGTCCTCAGTCTAAATTCTTACATCTTCTATTCTTAAGAGATCATTTCACCACCAGAGTATGTTAATGTGGCATCAGATTATCCTAGTAGGATTTCCCAGCCATCTATTTATGACAGGAAAATTGCGAGCAGGGAACCTTCTACTGCTTTTCTACCTCAGTTTTGCTTCCTGGAGAAGACTCCTCTACTGGCTTGTCTAGCAGGTTTAGGTCACTAGTGAGGTGTCCCACCATGTCTGTTAATCTTCTGGGCCTCATCTTCTACCTCAAGAAACACAGCTGGTTTGGGGCTGCTTGCAGAGATGCTTCTTTTGTGCCCGAAGGAGCACTCATAAAAATATCAACCTCATACATGCAAAGCTGAAAGAAATCACTGAGTCTCATGAAAACCAACTGAGAATCCGTATCATCATTTGGCCTGGAAAGAAAGAGGAAAATTACTTTCCCATAGAACCAAAAAAGCAAAATGTAACCTGGACTTTTAATGCAGACAAGAGCCCCCAGAATTGCTAAGTACACAAACAGTGGGGCTTAGGTGAAGGGTCTCTTTGCTAGTGAGGTTTTGACATTCTGGCAGAGAGAGGGTGTGAACTAGACCAGAGGACAAAGAGCTCCTGAGAACTGAGAAACAACAAATAGCCTGGTTGCCTTTCCCACAGAGAGCTTTCATCAGTAAATAAGCACACTGTGAAGAAGACCCTTCAAACCATTTAGAAAGAATGGAGATCGGATCAAAAGAAAAACAGAAAACTCACTGATGTGCTTACTTGGAACAGATCAACTCATCTGACTGTAGGGTTGCCCTAACAGTCCATTAACTTTATGGCTCATTCATTTCAGAAAGTACAGTGGAGGAGGGAATAGTTGGAGAGATGATTTTAAGCTTTAGAAAGTGGTTATTTGTTCTACATGTATTTGAAAGAAGAAGCTACATACTTTCATATTTCAAATTAGGTAACTTACAGTTTTAGGATTAATAACTAGATGATAAATCTCCAACATGGCAAAAAAGAACTGCCTATAGAAAATATCTTTGTTGATATAGAAATTGAGTACTTCACTGGATCCTAGTTTTATATATCACACGATTACCTGGATAAAAATAATTGTCTGATGGTGGACTTTGGAGCAGTTGCTCTGGTGATATAGTGCTCCACAGCCCATATTTGGTCAGTAATAAATAAATAAAAACTTGCTTAGTAGGATTCAGGGCATAACTGGTTTCTGTATGCCCCTGAAACAGCTTACCTTCCTTCAGTACAGGGATCCAAAATTTAAGAATTGTAGGCTTTTAATATCAAAGTAAATATATAGCACACGAAATCAAGCGCTAAATAACATTGTTGGAGAGATAAACTCTTGCCTGCTTGGCTAAAGGCAGATACTGTTCCTCATGATGAATTGCACATGTGGGTAACTGCGACAGAAATAGGTCTGTTGCATGTGACATAAAGCCCTTATTACATTTTAAAAAATTTCCATAGAACCTGATAATTTCTTAGGGCTTTTTTGGGGGTGTTCAGCAGCAGCATTTCTGAGCTCATAAAAATATGATGTATTTTTATTCAATTATAATGGGGGAAACAATTCCTCTTATTTGTTTGTTTAATGCATGTAACACTCAAGCCAGTTTTCTTCTTGTTGGGGGCTATATGGTGCTGAGGAGTGATAGCCACTCACGTGAGATGACTGCAGCAATTGCTAACTTCATTCTGGTTTCTTTTCTCAGACAAAAAATGAGTTTCTGTTACTGTAGTATATGAATGGAAGAAAAAAATGTTCTTGGAAACCAAACTGACTGCTCTTTGGGCCATCATTCTATAATTCATTTTAAGGATGACTCTCCTTTTCCTCTAGGATTATGCTACTAGATACTGGCTTGGTCAATAAAATGCTCCCAACCAAACTGCTGCTCCTCAGTGCTTCTTCTGTTACAGGTTTTCAGTAAAGGAGCTGACATATGTTGCTTAGACTCTTACCGTCCTTTTCAAAGGGTAATTCAGGTGGAAGGGACTTCAGGAGATCTCTAGTCCAGCCTCCTGTTCAAAGCAGGGTCAGCTTTGAAGTCAGACCAGGCTTCTCAGGGCTTAAACAAGTCTGCTCTGGAAAATCTCCAAGAATGGAGACCACATAACCTCTCTGGGTAACCTCCTCCACTGTCTGATTGTCCTTGTCTTGAAAAAGTTTTAGTTATAGCCAATCTGCAGCTTTCTTGTTTCAGTTTATGCCCATTGCCTCCTCTCTTCCCACTGTGAAGAGCCTGGCTCTGCCTTCTCAAGTGACCTTCCCATACATACAGGGGGGCTGCTATCAAGTCCTCCCAAAGCCATCTCCAAGCTGAGCAAGCCCTGATCCCTCAGCCTTTCCTCCATGCTCCAGCCCTGATCATCTTGAGGGCCCCTGTGTTGATCTTGCTGTAGCTTACCAATGTATTTCCTGTATTAGGCGGGCCAAACTGGACACATTATGTACATGTGGTCTACCAACTGCTAAAGGAGGAATGATCACTTGCCTCAGTCTCCTGTAAACGTCACGACTTGGCCTTCTTTGATGCCAGGTCATTTTGCTGGTTTATGTGCAGCTTGTTGTACACCAAGACCCACAGGGCAATTTCTGCAGAGCTGCTCCCCAGTCAGTCTGTCCCCAGCCTGCACAGTTGCAGGAGGTTCTTCCTTCCCAGGTGCTGGACTTAGCATTTGTCCTTGTTGCATTTCATGAAGTTCCCGCTGCCCCATTCCTCCAGCCTATCTAGGTCTCACTGAATGGCTGACATACTCTTGAGCATAGTGAGGTCTGAGAGCAAGAAGGCATTGGATACCTCAGCCTTATCTGTGTCTGCTGTCACTAAATGACCTGCTCCATTCAGCAATGGGCCCACATTTTCCTTGTTCAGCCTTTCATTACTTATGTAGTGGCAGAAACAGTTCTTGCTGCCCTTGACATCCCCTGCCAGTCTCAACACCTGTTGAGCTTTGAGTTCCCTGATGCCATCCCTGTATGTTTGCACTGTTCCTAAATTGTAGCCTATTCTTTCCTTTCAGTGGGAGGACCATGACCTTCACCCTTGCTACTGGGTAGTCACTCTTGATATGCTCAGGGTCCCCCCAAGCAGTATACTTGATGCCTACATGGATGAGCAGCTGGGGATGATTGTCCAAGGGCTGGACAAGCCTCATCAGTTTCTCCACAGTGTCCCAGATCCAATCTCCTGGCAAGCAACAAGCTGCCCTAGACAGTAGGAGAGGTTGGCAGGTGAGAACCTTCACTCCCCCACAGCAGGGCGTCTTGCACTGCTATTAGTCACTGCTTCCTTCTGGTGCTTTTGTTTAGTTCAGGCTTGGCCAGCTCTACAGCTTCCCTGATATGCCTTTCTGCCCTTTGCCCACTAGCAGGGCACTGATACTATTTTGCAGTTTCAGACCCATGGGTGGAAAAGGAGCCATCCTCCTGCTGCCAGAAGTCACAAGCCTACAGTCTTCCCCATCATGGGAGTCTTGGCACCACAACCAACCATAGTCTCTGGCTGCCTCTCTTTCAGTGCAGTTGGAGGTTTGGGCTCTCATCTCTATGAAAATCCTGTCAATCTCTTTTTCATCTTCCTTGACACTGCGCAGTCTGCTCACCTCCTCTTGCAGCTTCTTAGTCGCACAGCTCCTCAACCAGCTGCCGTCTCCTGCAGGCAAGGTTCAAATTTCAAGATTCAGCTTTCAAAGTTCAGGCCATTATATCTTTTTTTCCCCTTTTCTATTTCTTTCTGCACCATGCAGCCAGAAAGAACTGAAAGCCTTTAAAGATTACTTAATAAAATATGGGTTATATCCTCTCCTGGAGGTGTATGTATCAAGGGAGAAATATGTCCTGTGGTAGTTAGACAAGAAAGTTACGCAACTAATAAATAATTGGACATCTGGGATTTCATATGAAACACATTCCGATTTTACAGAGGTGACAATCACATCATCTTCTATGGTATTACTCCTGATTTATGCTGCTATAACTGCAAGGAGAATTCAGTCCATATTGTGATTTACAAGCACTTCAGTGAAAATTGTCAGGGCACAGCAAGGGTTAGCTGCTCCCTGCAGATCAGGGAACCAGGAGCCAATGGCGATATCATGACTGACAGAGCAGGGGGTCTCATCAGCCAGGTGCCCATCCCACAGCCCTGATGTGGGGTGAGCAGAGCAGGCTGGGAAGACAGCGGGGAGGACACCCAAGGTCAGCCAAAAGTCCAGATCACCAGACAAGTCTGTGGAGATGGGTCAGGACTGAGAACAACCAGGAACTCAGTCCATTGATCAGGGCCCAGGTCAACAGGGTCTATGAAAAGGCCATGGCTGTGGCCGAGCGGGAGATCGACACTGCTCCAGTATGGCTGGGACAGGGACTGAAGGCCCCAGGCTGGGCTGAAATGGGGTCCTGGGCCATTGGCAGGGGTGGGTGGGAGGCCTCAGGTGAAGCTGGTCAACTCCATTAAGGCCTTCTAGTGCCCTTAGGGCCCTAACAAAAATAATAAATGCTATATATGATATTTTAGGTTGTGACACTGCAGGAGGTTAGATTAGATGTTCATAATGGTGTCTTCTGAATCTAAAATATGTAAGTTTGCAAGAACATCCATCTCAAAATACCTATCAAAAAGTTCTCAGCTATAACAAAGGAAATACTGAAACATTTTAGGCTCTGTCTGGCAATTGAACACAAGACATAGGTCTACTTCAAATTGTATGCAATTTTCGAAACTAAATATAGCTTCTAAGTAGGATTTCCACCAATAATCCCAAATATTAATTTAAAAGAAATTGAAAAGGTCTGATTTTACTTTAATAAATTTCCTTGCCTACTTGATTTTTAATAAGAGATTTCAGAGGCATATATGTTTCAGAGGCATATATCAAGCTGAGATTTTCGAGTATGCTAGCTACAAGAGAAGCCACTCTTCTATTTTCAGTAATTACCATTCTGAGCCCAATGATATCTCAGGAGCTGAGAGCATCCTTAGGGCCTCACTGCTCCATGAGGCTGCCTTGAATCTTCCTCTGCACCTGCATGTCATTGAAGTTATGGGTGAATTCCCATCTTGGTGAGCAGAGCAGGTAATAGCCTATGTGAAAGGCCCTCAACTCAGCTATTTCTCTGAGGTGGACCAAACCCCATCTTTTTCTTGAAGTCAGTATGTTGGCTTTAAATTTTCAAAATTAGTTTTAATAGCACCAAATTAGTTATTTTACTAGTATAAAGCACAATGTAACTCTTTAAATGCAGCAAACTCAGATTAAATTAAGTATAAGCTTTAGAAACTGATCTTCCTTTGTGCCCAGTATCCTGGAAGGCTACTTCTTTCCTTCTGGTCTTGCTTTCTAAGTCACCACTTTCAGCAGTACACAGGCACCACTGTCTCCTCTGGCTTTATCTACCTTTCTACAAACAAGGACAGGCCAATGTCCTTTCATTGATCCTCAGGGCAAATGGCATAGCATGGCTTGTGTCCACACAGTTAAGCTCTCTTCTCCCCCACAAAAGGGAAATCTTATCTATGCTGAGTATTGGGAACACAGTCTTTGAACCTATGATGTCCTTTGAATGTTGCTTGGGAGCATGCTAGATGGCACAGGCCAAAATCATGCCAGGCAGCACACTACAAATTAAACAGCGTGGCTGCTTATATGCCAGTGTTTCAGATTGTACCCTGAGCTTTTTCAGTTTATTAGTCCAGGTATAAACTGTGGGTCTCTAGAAACCATTCCATTGTCTCTGAGGCATTTCATTTTGCAACCTGCTGTAAGGAAGCCTTCCACCACACAGAAAGACCTCCAAGTCTGTAGCTATATGGTATGTTTCTTCTCCGTCTCTTGAAGCTCCTTTCAGAGAAACACATTCAGGTGCTTTCAGCTGGCACAATCCTTTCTGTTTTTATAGAGTCCTCCTACCTTGAGGAGGATGTGAAATAGTCAGGCTTCTTCTCTGATGCCTAGAAACATACCTTTTACAGGTAAACAAAAAAAACAAACAAACAAACAAAATGCATAATTTTACCACTCATCCCAACAATGACATTGCATTTGATTTGGGTGGGGGAAAGGTATTAAAGAAATAGCAGGTAACTTTAAACTTCTCAGCTATTCTTCTTCACATGCGGGTTCAGACTTTGCTTTAACCTAGGATAATTAATGTCCAAGGCCTTAAAACCCAGTGTAATATTCTCACAGCCTGTGGCTGTCTGTGAATGGAGCAGCAGCTGTATCTGAGAATTCATATGAAAGAAAAACAAAATGCCACCATTTTGTTTGGCATGCCCGCCAGGGGCAGCAGGCAGCAACTACTTATGCCGCTGTTATGGAGAGCTGAGTTGCTTGTGCTGAGGATAGCACTAAAGGTTGAATTTTGCTCCTAAGAAAGAGCTGTCACACTGGAGCATGGGGACTCTATGCGTTCTTCTACACAGAAAAATGCTTTTGTATACAGCTTGTCAAAATCTAAACTGTGTGTATTCGGCTTTTTTAATATATTCTAAATGATTAATCTGTTTTTGTTCAGTTATTCTTTTCTTCTTAACCAATGAAAGCTGACGGGCTTCCTTCAAAGACACTTTTATCATCTTAATCACTAATAAAGGGCATAGCTGTAAGCATTACATGCAGTATGCCCGAGCTAGTATGCAGAGTACCTGCAGAGTATCCAGTGCTTGGGTACAAGGGTCCACATGCTCTAGCTGAACCTGACCAGGTTTAAAATATGGAATTTTGGTTTTCAGGTCCGTCTCATTGTTACTGTGTAGCTATAGCCATGGGTTTAGAATTTGTTTGAGAACAATTGGAGGAAAAATCTGTGAGAGGCTTCATAGTGGTTCTTTTTTTTTTTTCCTTTAAAAATGACTTATCTGTCTGAGCCATGGAATTAATTACTGAAAGAATCCACCTAAATATTTTTTACAATTTAAGATACACTTTTGTAGTATTCACAAAAAAAAAAAAAAAAAGGGAAAAGTCTAGACAACCAGCATCAGATCTGGGTATTGTCATCATTGAAAAATACTCTTAAAATTGAAGGCAGTTCATTGGCCTTGTATGTGGACCTATGACTAATGAAGCAGTCAAATAAACTAAGGTATCTGCGTAGTAGTAGTCACTTTTGAAGGGGGGAAAGGGAGTACCTCAGACAGCAGTCTGATCCAGCATTATAGTTGATTTTTTTTCGTAAGGACAACAGAATAACAGCTAAATAAAACAGAAGGTTGGTGCCTCAAAAAAGAAACAGTAATATGGGTACCCAACACATATACAGAATGCTTGTATTATACCAGTAATGCCCAGAAAGCTGAGGCTGCAAAGGAGGATCTGAGATGTGGCCAGGAAAAGCCATTAAAGAGTTGGTGCACACAGACTCAAAAGAGCACTGCAACTCAACCGGCTGTGGCTTTGGTGAAGTCCAGAGATCCTGAAGAGATTTGTGAGGGTGCAAATAGCTCCCTGAAACCTGAGTTTAAGAATAAGAATGGCCATGACCTCTTATGCCTATACCCTGCATATCACAAGACAGTCGTATTGGCCCTTGATTTGGAAGTATATTCACCATCACCTTTCTATGAAATCTAACTGAATGCATCAGAAAAGTAAGCACCAGAGACAGAAGCCTTCTGTATAGTCATGTAAAAGTTACAGAAGAACCAGCTGCAAAGCAAGCTGCTTCTCTGTCACCCTTCCAACATGTTTCCACTCTTGGCTAAGGAATGTCAAAGCCCAACGTAACCAAAGTATGAGCTCTCGTTCTGGTACTCCATCACTTAGAAATTAAGCTGCCGTTTCCTAATTGATTCACATAAACTGGCATTTCTCATGGAGCTCTTTAATTCCATTTACTTAGTGTCACTAACTGTAAAATCAAGAGGTAGAGAATCTGTTCTCTAGATTTTATAATTCTTTGTTTTAAAGATATTTAATTGGGTTTAAGGGTATACTCTGAAGGACAGCCATAGCCTAGCCATATTCTTTGATTATTCATTTCATTACAGCTGCTTCCATGCCACAACTGAATTGGTATTTCATATAGTTTCCTAAACTGCACAGCTGATTAGCAACTGCCTCAAGAAAAACAGCTTGATGCCGTGCCCCAAGCCGTCACTGCCAACTCCAAGCATGTAAAGACAGGTCCCTGGCAAAATCTATTCTAGATTGGCTTTTTTTTTCTTTTTTAATAAAGAACAACTTTGGAATCATTTTTTTCCTGGGCTATTTGAGCTTAAAGTTTCCTGTTTTGCAGATTTAATCTGTGACTATGAAAGACAAGGTGGAAAAAAAAAAAAAAAAGAAAGGCAGAGGTGTTGGGTAATGGAGGTACGGAATATTTTTCATGAAAGCTGAGGCAGTCACAATTTAGTATGGCTGAGCAGTCCACAGCATAAGGTCAAGTAACTTCTTCCTGCTGTAGTGTGTAACCTCAGTTCTGTTTGCGGTTTCTGTAATGTGGATGAGTAACTCCAAACTCCTTCAGTGCCTGCAGCTCTTACATGGCACGAGAAGGCAAATCTTGACTTAGATCCTTAGTTTTTAAAAAGTCAGTGCCATATTCATCCCAGTTCTGGGTATGCATTTTGTTTTAGTTCTTCACTGGAGCGCACCCAACAAAGCAGTGCATTTGACAGACTGCTGTTAGAAGTGTTTTCCTAAATGACCACCTTCCCCATTTCCCTCTATCTGCTTTATAACATCAGTTCAGTGTACTGATACGCTAATAATTGCAGTAGTGTTATCCTAGCTTTACTCTTAACGTTAACGTGGGATTTTTTGGTACCAAGTTCCATCTTCTAGCAATCACACTGAAAGGAAGGATTAGCGTCCTGAAATTATAGTGCACAGATTCTACGAGAGTTGTTCTTCACCTTAAGATGCGTGTTCTTAACCACGCTTGTGAGTAAGGGTCTAAGTGTATTTTGTATGACTAAGTTTTAAAATCCTAGAGAAAAGTATGTTTTCTGAAGTTTTGGGTCAGAACATGTGCCTCATAAATGAAGAGGAAAAGAAAAAACATATTTTGAAGGTATGAGCTGCATTATTTTTGCTATCCTCTTGGACCAAGGAAATCCAGTGTTCACGGTATTCTGCAATGAACCACCTGTCTCTTCCACATGCCAGTTTATAATCTGTTCCTCAGCATAAGATTAATGAAAGAAGTTTGGCTGCTTACACTTCCTTTCATCAGTGAGGAAAGAACCTTGAGATGTGAATATCAAAAGTACATTTTATTACGGCAGTGAATAGCTTAGCTCATCTAGGGAGCAATTAAGTTCTTATTTCACCACACTAGCAGCTATAAAGGATGCAGTATATTTTAGGCTGGATTATGGCTTTGCAGTAAACCCTTTGTGTGAGGAGAGACACGACTGTGATCCACCAGGAACTGCTGGGGAAAGGGCCTCTGCTTTTTGATAAATCCTTATTTGTTGTTTCTCAGTGGCAGGGATGCAGGAAATTGCTACTAGTTTATAGCATATCCTCAGGGGGAGCAAGATTTGCAGGTGCAGTGTGCCAGTTCGGAACACCTAAGGTCAGATGAACCTGCTCAGGATGTCAACATAGTTTCTTATCCCATACCCAGCCTTGCAACGTGTGGTGCAATCTGCTCTCAACCATTGTTTTACATCCACAAATCTGCCAAAGAGATCTACTAAATCTACCAACTCTTTTCACTTAAATGACTGTAAACGCCTGTATTATCAGTGCAAGTGCTTTCTGCAACTGGTTTGGAAGGCTATAGTAGCTGCTGTGATAACGCAGCTTGAAGACTGTGTTATCCATCGTGCAGCTTCAGCACTGCCCGCTTAAGACAAGGGTAGCAGAGGAGGTGGGGAACAGAGGGGACATCCATCTGCTCATTTGCTCCCTCTGCCAGCAGGAGGCTGGATGCCTGCTTCAGCTTTCTAGACTTTACGAGAGCAGACAGCTTATAACCCCTCTAAAACCTCACCTCTCTCAGATTCTGCAGAAAAGCACATGGTGTTAAGCCTGAGCAAAGGGAAAATATCTTCTCACCCACAAGGGGAGAATCAGACAAGCAAAAATCTCCCAGAAACTTTGGCCAGAAACCTCATGTCTAACAGCAGATTTTTGTCCCTGCTACATGAAACCCTGTAGGGCTTTGCAGAGGTGCAACTTTCTATCCATCCAAAAGTTGTATTCCCTCCCTCCCTCATAACTGTGCAGAGTTTGCCAAAAGGTTTAAACCAGCAGTTACGAAATAGATCATGATACATTCGATTAACTATTGTAAAATGTGTTAGACAAAAAACATAGATAATGCTGATTCCAACAGACTCCTAAAAGAACGCGTAATTTTTTCTCCTCTGAATGCATTTGGGAATGTCATTTACTGAGATTAAGTCATTTTTTTCCCGCATGTTCTGTTTTAGGGTCAGATTCCTTTAAAGCCCCTGGTATGTTTTAACAGAACTTTCAGTTGCTCAAATCCAGTGTGTGTCTGGGCTAAAGAAACCCACGTTACAGAGTCAGATATTTATCTGGTGTTTATCAGCATAGCTCCACTTACATCAGATGAGCAGTGTCTGTTTACAACTGCCCATTGTGATACAAAATAAAAATCTATTCAGCCTTGGATAACCCAAAGGAACTCTCAAGATCTGTACTTGTATTTGCAACTCAGTCAAATTTGTCAGGTACTCCCATTCGGGAATGGGATGCAAGACTGACAACCACATACTCACAGTTTTGAATGCATAAAACATTTTAGTGTTCATAAGAAACTATCAACTCCATTGTCTTGGATTCTTGAACTAGTATTGCTAGTGTTTGGAAAAAGTACAATATTTTAGTTTCCTGAGTCACAACATTGTTTTATGTTAGACACTTGGTAAAAGAGTGTTTTTCCAAATGAAAATATTAGGAAGAGTACCTAATTTGTTATTTATAAGCTGCCTACTCTGGTTGGGCATCTCATCTGTAGAAATATTTTGTATGGAAATACTATAATTAAACTCTAATTTCATTTAAACTAAATTTAATTTAATTTAGAACATCAATTCATCTGAAAATATTTCACAATTCATAACTTTTTTTTTTCCATTCTAGAATTCAAAACTGAACCTATTTCTAAGAGAGAATTGTAGAGAATTGGTGTGGGGGAGGTGATTTGAAACATTTTGAGTTAAATGCCTAAACTATAACTCCAGCAAGAAAAAATATTTTCTGAAAGTGACATCTTGATATTAATTTTTATTAAGACATCACAAGCCCTGTAGCAGTTCAACATGTACTGAAAATTTTCTGCACCTGTAACACTTAACACTGTGTTATCTCTAACACAAAATACTGTTTAAGCAGCGCTTTGAACTTCGCGGGTAGGTGCTTAACTAAAGATCAGGTCAGGTTTTCTAATTGTGTGTGAGTTTTACAGTTTCGTGACATTAGCTGTCAGAAAGATCTTGCCCTCAGTATCCCTACATTTACTCACGGTACAGATGGGACGGAGGCTGGGCTGTGAGTGCAAGGCTGTACGCACAGCACATCTCAAAGAAATTCCAGTCACCGTAAATCATTCTTCCTCTCTTTAGAGTGCCCACATTCACACTCTAGATGGCTCTAACAACCTTCAGCCTACACACCAGAACTGAGCAGGGTCTGCCTTGAGGAATGGCTGTAGGACTCTTCTTTCCTGCATCTAGAAATATCTGCATCTAGAATGTAGGACATTCCTGCATCTAGAAATATTCCCAATAGCAGAATGCTGGGCAACATTGAGCTCCAGGGGCTATTTGGGAGAGCTCAGGGATGGAGAAGCTTTCCTCAGAGGATCCCTGGTGCTCAAACTTTCCCCTAGTGTGTTTTAGCAGCCCTTGGATAACTTCACTCTGCAGAATAGCCAGGCAAATTGAGCAGGTGCTTGACAAATGTTATCATTACTTGGCACAAATCCTAAGAAATCTCAGCCAAGATCCCTGAATTCTGGAAGAGCTCTCTGGTAGTAATTTGAAGAGTAATACTCTTCCCTAGAGAAGACCTAAAGAATTTAGAATATGCCAGATGGTGGCATCTGCCACCTCAAGGATTGAACCTGGACAGCTGGAGCCGAATATAACAGCATAGGATCTGCCAGAGGCCATGGCAAATTTTGCTGCTTCTTCTCCGTTGCTGTTTTACAAGTGGGGCAGTTACAATATTTATTAAATACGTGTCTCTCACTCAAGCAAAACAACAAATGATTGTGACTGTTAAAAAGAGGAATTTTATTTTCAGAGGTTTGATGGTCTGTGGTATGGACAAAGAGAGGAACTGAAGAAGAAACCTATCAAGGCAAGTAAAAAGAATCACAAGATTAGCAGGGAAAAATGTTGAGGAAAATAAAACCTCTTTAAGGTTTGTTTAAAGGCAACAAAAATGTAGGAAACAACATTGAAAGAATACCTATTATGCACACAAAACTCTGTATTTTGAAATGAGGTCAAAATGAGTACTGAAGAACTCACCTGGACGGTTCTGAAGAACTGAGGGACAGGAATGCATTCACCCCTTCATCTAGAGATGGTGGTGGTGGTCGGGGGGCAGACACGAACAAGCTCCTCTCAGCACAACTGAAATCCAGACAAGTGAATGAGCATATTTGCATCCACCATGTCAACACATAATGACAACTATTTGAAGGGAAACTAGCTGCTCTGATACTCTAGCTGGTAATACTGTAACACAGTGATTCTGCCTGTGGCCTGATTCAGTACACAGTAACACTTTAATAATTCAGATTTTTAGAATTTAACACACAGTTTGATAAAAAATAAATAAATAAAGTTAAATCAAAATGTTAAATCTTGTTTTGGTCTAAAATACTTCAAAATGCACCTATTTTCTATCTCTTCTGAGTAAAAAAATCATTTAGAAATATCTATATGTAGCTAGGGACTGCACATTTTATCGGAAGCTTCATGAAATTTTTATTAACATTATCCCCTAACTAGAACTGTAATTACTGACCATGAAAATAATATCAGTTTCTACTTGTCAGCAAAATATGTCAGTAAAATGTCTATTAACCATTATCACTTGCTTTGCACGAGCAAAATAGTGAATGAGCAGGACAATGGAGCATATTTTTGAAAAAATATTTTCCAAATTTCAGTTTTTCTCTACCCTGCTGAAACAGCCAGAGACCAAACTGGATGAAAACCTAGAGCCTTGTGCAATGAGCTTTATTTTAGTATTCTGAGAAGATAATTATTATCAATATATGAACCAACTCCTGCCTAAAATGAGAGGTCTGTCCATGTGCAAGGAATAATACAACGTCCATGACATCTTACTAAGGATTCCCTTTCTCCATCAGTCACTTTAGTGCCAACGAATATTTATGACTTAGCACTGAAGAAAAATTAAATAATCTGAATAATCATTTTGAGGCAAACTGGAAATCTTTTCTGGACGTGAGATGGTGTCAAGGGAGGTATTCTACAGAGTACAGAGACAAAAATACAGTGTTCCACATCACAGCTAGAGCAAAGCTCTTTTCCCCAGACAATTTTTCATTTTTCAATTCTCAATTCTATAGAATACAATCAGATAGAATAGTTTCAACTTTCCACAGGGACTACATCGTAGGTAGATGTTTGAGAATCTGCTAACATTCCCAACAGACTGAGGACAGTTATTAAATGATATCTCTTCTCCCTAAGTATGGTAAAAATATAGCAAGTAAATGAACAAATATTTATACCTAAGAAGTGACATTAACTCCTTTTCATAGTCATTTGTTGATATGTTATATATACCATTCTATATGTTATGTATGAATAGAACATATATATACATAATCAGCAATATATTTTAAAAATTACATTTATGAAACATCTTTTCTGTGTAGCTGTGCAGAATACAATAGGATATGGAGAAGATACTTTTAGTATTACTATAAAATAAATATTTCTGTTATTACCGCTAGTAGTAATACACATAGATTTCTAAAAGAACATCAGTAAAAACTGTATCAAATGAGTACTAGGTAAAAATTTCACATAAATTATTTTATTTGACAATTGGTACTTATTTGCAGACTTGCTACTCATGATTTATTTAAAGATTAATAGAAGCACTCTTAACATAATTTTTGGCAGTGATCATTTCTGTTTATAGACCCAAGAAATATACCTCAACTTAACATAGCTTAAATTTCATTCTAATAGATTTTATAACTTGCTTTTTTTCAATTGACCATTTGATAAGCACAGTAAATCTGTCTACTCTTCAGTTCTTTTGTACTTCTTAATTTACCATTCTATAGTGAGTGATTTATATTTTTTTTGCTTTATGTACTCATATTCACTTGGGATTAAATTCCTGAATAAAATCCTCACACCACCTTACATTACCACACCAGACAATTTTAACTGAGGCCTTCTCAGTGACCATGAAGAAGAATTGCCTGCATGATGACATCCCCTGCAGCATCTGTGGAATATTTTGGGTTTATAATTTTCCATCAACATTGGCATCGCTTTCAATGGCCAATGCTCTAGTACCCCAAAAAGTTCTCTTGGTTACTTTCCTTCTCCCAAGTGCTCTCACATTTGGTAGAGAAGTGTGCACACAATACACCTCTGTGCTTTACCAAATAACTTTTGCAGCGGCCCCAACCAGCAAAGCCTTATTATTCAATAATTCTCCGGCAGCCATGTAGACAAGACTTTTGGAAGGGACTCCTAGTCACTGGAAAAGTTGGGATGAGGGGACAAAAGTCTGAGTTCACTCAAAAGTATGATTGTAGAGAAAGGTCACTTGTGGGAGGAGGAAAAATGGCAGAAGAGTATTACGAAACTTATGTATAGAGGAGGATGAGGGTATAGTGCAGTCTGAGGGATATCTGATTGTTTATTCATGGGGCCAGGGGTTCTTGTAAACCTATCCTTTTGACTGTGGCACCGTTTAAGTATATTGCTAATGCCAGCTGAACTGAATTACAAAAAGTGCTTAATAGAGCTGGACCTTAGTCTGTGCGTAAATATTTTGCTTAAATGTACCAATAAGTCGTCGTCTGTTCCCATTGAAGTCCATGGGAACACTACCAGTGATATCAGCTTAGAACAGAAATTACCCAGTTCCTTTTTCCCTATACTTCCTTGTGGAACATCTTTTCTGGAATATGGCATCTCTCTTCACCTCCAGCACAGAGTGGAGCCTCTTGCTACATGGGCAAGGAGACTAGTAGCTAGGGAGATACTGATTCTTTGATATGCTGTAATTACCTTTCTAGAATGATGAACCAATTGGTTTCCTCAGATCTGATCCGATGATTACTTGCTTGGCTTACTCCTCACCCTCTCCTTTTTGGAGTTGCCCAAAAAAATTACTTGCTTTTGGCAATACCTAACCATTTGTCCTCAGAAAGTATTCTACATGAATAAAAATTGACCAAATCTGGTGAACTTCCACTCTTTGCCCTGTGGCATCATCTTACAGATTTTTCAGAGCAGCGAAGAGGATGGTGAGAAGGAAGATGGGCTTCATATTCAAAAAAGAAGTTGCATTCTGATTCAGAATTACACAAAGATATCCCAAAATCAAAGAGAATGAACAGCTACTTAGAAACAAGTTCTTCAGCTCATCTCAGGTGGCTTCACAGAACCATGAATTTTTCTTCCTTGAGTCTGTCTCTGAACCCTTGGAAAGTTTTAGTATTCACAGTTCCTTGCGTCAAAAGTTCCCGCATTTTAGTTCTACACTGTATGAATTACTAATTTCTTCAGTTTTAAGCATGCTGTTAAGTTAATTTGAAGCATTTATTAGCATTCATTTGATAATTTTAGTTATCATCCTAAAGATTCTTAAAAGTTGTGACAAGTGCTGCTGAATAAAATGTTGTGCTGTTAACTCACCCGTAATCTGAATGACTTTAAAAACTGCTCTAGAGCCATGGATAACTTCACTCGTCCCTGAAATGTGGGTAACCTCTGGAATTGTATTTTTACCCTGTGTAACAGTACACACCAAAAGAATATTATTTTTTTAAGGATCAGAAGAGCAAAACGACACCCAGTTTAAGTTTTAAGGGATGTTAGATATGCGGACAGTACTTGCCTTATGATTGTGATTTATTTATGCAAAAAGGGTCCAGCGGATTTTGAATGTAATTAGTTTCCTATAACAACAATGCTCAGCACATCTAAAACACTTTTTATCTGTATATATCAATGCGTTTTGCAAACATATGCCTTGATTCATATCTATTGACTCTAAGCTGCAGAGAGATTAATTGATTTCTGATAGTCACACACAAAATCAAGAGTAGAAGCCGATCTCCTGAGTTACAGACCCTTTCTATGAGATAATTACAGTTAAGCCTTTTTAACCCTAATGACGACACACCAATCACTAATACTAAGGTAGGCTACTACAGGCAGGAAGGCATGAAAATATTTTTCAACAGCATCACATCCTAGATTTTTTGTTTTAAATCTCCTGTTCAGTTTCTAACCCAGACACCCTGGACTGAGCTTACATACTTAGAAAATAACAAGAAAGTGTCAAGAGTGCAGGTCTAAATTCACTCAATCCTCGGTTTAAAATTTAAACGTTGAATTTCCTACTGCTGGGGCATGCTGTTTTAAAAAATGCATAAACTTCTGAAACATAATAACATGCCCAGTAATGGATGTAGAAGGAATGTGCAAATCCCTGCTGTATAGTACCCTGTCATCCCCATCTCCCTAAGAGAGAAAGTGGGCCATGTGCCAAGGAAATACAATATAAGGTATGCGTACAAATAAATAAAACAAAACTGATTAACCTGAAAGTATGAGCTTGCTTTTCAATCCTTTCTTCACCATTTTATTACCTTCCCTCTTCTTCCTTTCTCCCTTTTCTCTTCATCTTTCTCTCTCTCTTCTATAACATGGCGCATTTTCATACACTTAAACTTTCCTTCTTTCAGAACACAGTGACCATGCACCACCTGCAAGACAATGACCCAGGCCCTAGCTTGGATCATATCCTGCAGACCTTTAGATCTTTCAACTCACTGCTTTTCTAACCCAGGATATACGTTACATTCTCCATGCTCACTACATCCCATACCTGTAACAAAAGGGGTTATTGCATCCTACCCTCTAAGACCTGCAGTCTCCATGAAGCACTCAGCACTCCCACGCGTTGCAAGCAGCTGCTGCCACAACAGTTCCAAATTCACTGGCTCTGGGCACCTTTTCTACTTGCATTTCCGCTGGTTGTGTGGTGCCAGACAGCCTTTGACATCTTCTGAAGTCACCTTCCTTCAGTTTGGGGCTAGAAGACTATAACTCAGCATGCTAGCACAACATATGACTATTTATGACATTCATTATTTACAAACCTTTATTATGAACCTTCCCTACCAACCCCCCAAAATGCTGGAATAAGATTTCAGCTATCTGGGCATGCATAGGGAAGAGGATGCCTGCAGCACGGCTTGCCGGTGTGGATGCAGGCCAATAGCTTGATATGATAATGCTGGAGGGCTGGGTCAGAGGAAGCCAGCCAAATTGGCAGAGTCTTGTGCTTACTAACAGGGCCCATGCCATCTCCCAAACCTCGCCTAGCAATTATGTGGGAGAGCACTAGCTAGCCTGAATCAGCACCACACTGGGGAGTCTGCTAACAGTTTAACAGTATTGGACAACTGCGTACCAGTGTTTAAAAATCTGTTGTGGGTTGCTTTAGTTTCTAAGCATAGATATAGGTTTCCAGCTTTGGCTTGTGTGGATTGCCTAGAGGCTGAATGAAGAGCTCTTGAATTAGGTCATGTTCTGAACTAGTGGAATTCATGTTGTTTTAGAAGATAAAATCAAATAGATAGGGTCTTCTTTAGAGAAACACATTGAGTTGGATGTCTTATTGCTATTCATTTTAATTAGGCATCTGAATCCCTTAAGCAGTTTTGAAAATCAAAGCCAATTTGTTTAGTTCAGCACTGGAGATAGCTTCCCGTCCCTCATTAGGAATCTGATGTATTGTGTATATATGTAAATGAGAGGTTTTCAAAGAAAACTTTGCATGATGTTTTAATTATGGGAAGTATCAGGCAACTTAATACAGAAGCTGTCATCATTTTTCCCTGCAGACAATGTGTACCTGTTCTTTTTCGCTCACTTTTCTCCTTTTCCTGTTATTTGTAAGCATTTACTGAAAAAATGTTGTGGAAAAGTAAAAATGGAATTTTTATTTGAATGCAATATCGGCCTATTAACACAGGCACTATTTAAAACAAAAAAAAAAGGAAAAAATCACCTCTAAACTGTCATGCATTATCATGCAGATTATACATTAAGACATCATCACCCGTGAATGCTATTATAGTTAAAGGGCAGCTAGCCGCTGTGAATGTCAGTTGGCCCCACCTCACCTTGATTCAGCATTGCAGTCAGTGAGCGATACTGTTCACCTTTCCATGGATGGACTCAAGCTGCTTTCTTTAGTGAGCTGCGGAACCAGCCTTCAGGGCAGTGTGGAGAGCCGTCCTTAACAGAATCAGTTTGTTGGAATTTGTCTCACCAGACGTTTACTCTAACAAGAAAATAGACCAAAGATGTGTTAGGCAGAATCCATTCTGATACTTCAAGAACAAGACTACAAGAAATCTTATTTTCTGTATAAGGCCTTACTATCGTGCCATACTGTGCTGGGATTCAAGTGATCTAGATTCAACTTCCAGCCAATGCCAGATTCAGATATTCTTCCATCTCAGTTGTATCTGATATCAGTTCATTGCCTTCCGAAATCTGATCCTGGCTTATTTCTGGGAAATGAAACTAAAGAAAGGGATTATTTACTTGCTGTTCCAAATATTTACCAGCTTATATCAGGGTTGCTTACGTTCAAGTGCTGGTGCTTTTGGTTTAGCAGCAAATTGAACTCCATGTAATGCAATGATTGACCACATAAATATGCACTGCTGAGACAAATCAACATCTACCTGAGAAACTTTTTCCAGACCTTATCTTGCTTCTCAGACAGTTAGCAGCTGCCTTTTTAACATCAGATGAGGATATATCTGTTCTCAGTTTTCCTTCAACAACTCAGTCCTGCCCCAGAAGGTCTGATCCTGATCATGAGCACGATTTTCTGGCCTGTCAATATTTATTAACACAACAGGTGCTTGCACATCTTACTCCAGACTGCTGAAAATGCAAGGTGAGTAACAGAGCTACTAATTGCAAGAACAAAACTGTGAAAATGTGATTACAGAGCACAGCAGACATACTAATTTTTCTAAGACTGTTTTAAAGATAGCTACCATGCACTAGGAACCCATCCAGGATTTGTCCTAGGGCTCTCTGTACCCCCTTGCAAAATCCCAATTTTCATGCAGATGTACAAATAATATGGTCAGCTGTTTGTTTTCTAACTACTGAAGACACCTATGCATCAGTTAGTCACAGTCAGTACTAAAAAATAATATTGGCTCATGCTATGTGCTACACACACATATATATACTATGTGTATACATATAGCATGTGGATTACATGTGCTTTTATGCAGCACATATTACATGTAGCATATGTACAATACATTTAAAAAAACACATTGCAAGAACTGGGATCTCTGGCATAAGAGAGGAGAGAAGGGATTCCTACATACAGATTTAGATGGTCAAATTCTTTATCATATACAGGATTCTTGCTGCCTGATTTTTTTTAATGCTCTTCACACTTCCATTGTTTGCAGTAGATGTTGAAATCTGGCAGAAGCAATGCCTCCTCTTCATCTCATGAAATTCTGTTAGCATTTTACCAAGGTACAAAGTGACAGGAACAGCTCTTTTTCAGAACTGGGCTTCAGATTCTGGACATTGTTTATTTATTTTTGATAGGATGCATTTGAAATTGTATGTTAGTTCATTAAATAGGATTATTCGCCTGAACCCATAATGTTAACTGTAAGACTTCATAATGAAATGCATTGACTTAAGTGTAAGAACAGTATTTATAATGCACATTACTCTAAAGATTGTGTGAAAGGGACCCTACTCCCCTGAGTATTATATGGGAAATTACAGCACGAATGAGAAAGGGAGTGCAAATATACACTGAACATGTCCTCAAATACAGGTGCAACGTCTTCCACAGACCACTGGAGGAACAATTCTCATCAGTTCAAAGAAGCAGAGATTACCTTATGCTGAAGGAGGCAAGTGGAGGATGGCTTGGATTTTTGATAAGAGAGAAGGGAAATACAGCCCGCATATGCATGCTTTATTACAGATCTCTTTAAAGGTTCGTTGAGCGAAGAGGCTGCTGTATGCCAGAATCTGGCTCCAGAGATCTGTTCCAGAATCACCCTTTTGAGTGGTAAAGGTCGAAGAATGAAGGTCTGATAAAACAAACAGTCAAACAAACATATACATACACACACACACATATGTATAAAAATATATAATGCATAGATTTGAGATCTACAACTCATTTTAAAAAGGAAAGTCCAAAGAATGGGTTACTTACCTTTGAAAAAGAAGAGGGTGACACACAAAATAAGTCAAGAAAACAAGAAATATTTTACTAAGGTGTGGAGTCTAGGACATTTGGGGAAGTAGGAGAGAAGGGCTGGAAGGAGGAACTTCGGGGCACAGGGCAGGCTGGAGAGTGACAACTCAGGGTATGAGGTTCCAGAAAAATCATGAGGAGCAGAAGTTAGATATCCGATTCTCCTGAAGGAACAAGGGGAAACCATCCACATGAGAGGTGGGGGCCGTGGGAAGAGCAGCAGAGGAACAGAAAGAGAAGGGAAGAAGAAGAGAGGAAATGTATGGCAGCAGCAAAGACTGAAGCAGAGAGAGAGAAACAGTCTGAGGGAGAAAGGAAAAACAAAAAGTGAGAATGTCGATCTCATTTTTTTTTCAACTCTCCCATTATACTTTGCCTTGTTCTAATAGACTTAATAAATACACTCATTGATACTAAATTTATGGATTATGCATTAATCTACTGTAAATTTAACAAGCACTTTAGAGTGTTTCTCCACAAACAGGAGGAGCAATGTCTGTTCAAGAAGCTCAGAAACAGTATTCTTTTTCTCATGGAAGCATGCGGCTTTGCAGGTGACAGATAGCAAAAAGCTACCAGCTGCTGATTTACGAAGCTAAGGGCCATATATGGCAGTGCTATTTTGGCGTTACAACCATCTCAGTTCTAGCCTTCCTCCAGCTCTTTTCGATGTTTCTTTTATTAGAGAATGACAACTTGTTGAATTATGCAAAAGCATCGCCCAGAGCATCTTTCTTAGCTTTACCTGACTCTAGAAGATTGACTTCAAGGCACAGTGGAAAAGTACCTGAATTAGTTGAAGCTTTTACTCCTGGAACCTGAACTAGTTCACTGACTGGCAGCCTAGGTGTCAACGCAGCAAGCCTAACTTAGGTTACTCTATTATTAGGACTTACTCTCCCATTATTGCACTAAATGTAAAACGATATCTGGGAGGGAAAAAAAAGAAAGAGGACATTCACAAGGTTTAAAAATGGTATTCTTCACAAATTAATGAAAATCAATAAAGTGAACCCAACTACTATAAAATCAATTTCCAGACACCAGCTCAGCTCTGCTTTCTCTGTTTCCTTTGAACAACAGCGGTGTCTCTATGCCTGAAGCGTTCAAGAACTGCAAGTGCGGCCCAAAGCTACCTCTCTACTTGCCTCTCATGGCACTAAACATAAGTTAGGTGATCTTCAGCTTCATAACCACATCTACTGTCAGTATTACTTTACAAAACTGGAGACTCATATCGTTTTCCCATATACATTTAAAAACTACATGCCCTTTCCAAAAGTGTGACACGCAGCCTTGCTGCACGCTACATCAGTTTAAAAGAAAAATCATAGCTGCGCTTCCCCATAATATCATTCTCAAGGTTAATTATGACAAAAAGAAATAATTGCCTTGCGGGCTATTCTCCCTCTCCAGATACCCAGATCCATACCCCACATCAGATTGCTGCTGGTACGCTAGTTGTTTGGCAGACATCACTCATTCTGCAACCTATGCATCAGGGTAGGACTCATGGCTTACCTGGCCACCTCCTCCACTGATTTGATCTCCTACTTCTGTGCACAGTCCGTTTGAAATCAATGGATATTGAAGACACATTAGTTTTGCTTACCAGACAGAAACACACGAGCCTGTGCAAGCTATGTGTGCAGCACTGTGTGCCTCCACTCACCCATTTGTAAAATAGACATTCCAGCCATATCGCATCCTTTTTACTCCCCAAAGAAAACTTTCAGCCATCAGCTGGTTAAAGGAACTTCTTTTCCTCCAGAAGGCTCCCATATCCTGACCTCAGGAATCACAATATTTCACATATATATATATAGGTATATACTTTTTAATCTATCTCATTACTATGTGAAATACTGATTAAGATTGCTTGCTAGTATACTTGAGGACAGTGTACATCAAGCAGGAGCTTTTATTGAACTCTGCAGTCACAAAAGCTCTCTCATTTCTTAAACAGAAGAAATCCCTCATTCAGAATCCTTTAAGAGACTTACATTTTTCCTCCAATTGAAACATATACAGAAACACACAGGCACACGCAAACACACATACATACATGCATGCACATGTAAAAAGAAGGAAAAGACCATACAGGGCCAGAGGCAAAAACTGGCACCTATTTATTTTACAAAAACATGACTCTTACAACTTCTGTTCTTACGGGTAAGGTGGGTAGGAGGCTGGGGAAAGAGGAGGAAAACAGGAAAAAAAACCCAATACATAAAGAAAAAAGCCTGCAACATTTAATAGCCTGATTTCTCTCTAAGATTAGTGCATCAGGTGTCCTTTTTTTCCTGGTTATTTTTTTTTTCAGATAGAAAGCCCAGGGAATTAAATGGATTTTACAGTGCAATGTGAAGGTAGCCAAGTTGAGTTTTGATGTCAAGAAGGGAAGAGAGATTCCCAGCCAGAGGTACGTCAGATATTGCACTCTAATGGACACATCGCTATTGAAAAAAGGACCCACTAGTTTATATTCTGCAGAAGACCCAGATTCGCTAGACAGGCTTTCAGATGTTTGCAGAACAGCTTTAAAAAGTTTGCATCTCTTCCTGTGTAGGCAGATCTTCCTGCCTAGTTTTCGGTTATGCCGCCTAATCACATTAGCAACAAACACTGAGCAATCTTCCTTGAAGGGCTATAAACAAATGACAGACAGAGTCACACTGGAGATCCATTGAAATGCTCTAAGGAAACATATTTTGTTTTGAACTACTAGACACTATGACAATCCTGGGCGCTCGGAGACAGAAAAGGACGTCTTTGCATTCTCAGCCTGAAGTTCAGTATCCGTCTCAGCTCTAAGTGACTAGTGCTGACCATGTTATTCAGTCCTGATGGATTTAAAATATGCTATACAACTCCAGAGAGCCTTGAAGCTGCTAGATGAGTTGTCAGCGGATGCCAAATTCCAGCAGTAAGCAGTAAAAGTTAGTGGGAGTGTGTGATAAGTGTGGAGACTACAATGGTAACAGGACGTACTAAACGTAGGAGGCTAATGCTGATAGGCAGCACAATTCACTTTTCCTCTGGAAGTTATTCTTAAATATTTCAAAAAGACTCTAAAAATGGAAAAGCTAACTTCCTCAATATTGACAGCATCTAATTTATAATAGATGCTTCAAACACTCCAAAAATGGAAAGATATATTTGATTTTTTTCCCCCCTCAGAAGAGTATTACAGACTACCCGGGGCAGGAACTCGGCTCCCTAACCTAAAATTTAAAAAAAATATTCAGAGAGAATTTTTTATTTATAATGAGAGTAAATCCCAATTTTTATGCTCCTCCAAAAAGGCAGAAAATATTGAATAATAGCAAATTATGGCATGACTTAAAAGATGCTTAACACTTATGTGTCTAAAGCATCTTAGGTGCTTAAGAGACACTATTTGGCCAATTGCAGTAGCTTTTTCTGTACTCTATTGGAGAAAGAAGGACATCTCTAGAAGACAGTTCACAATAACTGTGTGTGGCTCCTGCACCAAGTACTCTTGAAGGAAATTCTCCCTGACTACATCGTCTTAAACATCAGGAAACTAGTTTGCAAATTACAGTCAAAAGCTGTGTAGTGCAACTCCTTTCTTCGTTTATAAAAAGCACTACTGATAGAGTTCACAGAAGCAAGGGAAGAACATGTTTTGTGGTCATTTTAAGACGTGTGCGTGGTGCTCCTTTGAACCAATCGCAAATGTCAGCTTACTCCCAGATTGCCCGGGATTACCCTTCGCTCACTCCAGGATGATGGGTGTTCTTCATGCACAGCAACGAAGCTGGTCTGAGGAACCACTGCTGGTGCATCTCAGTGAGATTATGTGTTGTGATGACATCACATTTGTTGTAGGTTGATATTTAAGGGTTCTCCCAGCACTTTATCATATGTTTAAAAACAAACAAATCCAAAAAATGGAAATTTTATGATCATTCCTGTGATGCAGACCTACACAGGCTTGTTGCTGCATGCACTGAATGCCCCTTAACCTTATGCCATGTGCATGGTAATGGAGAGCCCTAATGAGGAAGTTTCCTCATTGAGGAAACCCTTTCCACTGATAACGTATATGAAAATAGAAGTGCGATATGATCTCCCAGATAGTCTCTGGATACCAGACTTCTTTGCCACATGTGTCCAGAAACACTCAAATATGAGGTGGGAGGAAAGAAAGAAAAAGAAAAAAAAATCTCACCCAAATAATGAACATCCTATTTTGTGAATATCACCTTTAAATCAGCTGCTTATGTTAGGGTTAGAGTTGTCTGAATCAGGGCAAAGTCTGTTGTTTACTGCCATTTTCTTCCTTTTCTTTTTTTTTTTTCTGTTAATCTATGAGGCATATACCTTGCGTAGTATAATAGAAGAGGACAGTAAAATGAGGTTCACCCCTTGTGGTAGTGGAAGACATGCTAGCATCAGGATGCAACCAAATCTATGCATGAAATGCACATGTATCCATGTGAGTGGCATTAAATATGGTATATCCTGATTGCACACACAATCCTTTGGCAGTGAAGAAGTAAAAAAAAAATTAAAATGAAAATTAAATTTCAAGCAAATCAAATGAGGCCTCTTAAGTCTCTGAGGGCATTTTTTTTCTCCCTTTGGGTGAGTATGTCAGTATGTCAGACTGCTTTAAGCACCAGACTAAGCATATTTTAATAGAACAGCTAATAAAATATTTAGAAAATACCAGAAGTCAAATCCTAATTTCTTTTTTTTATATATACTGTACTTTAGACTTCTCTGGGAAAAAGCCAAATAAATACCATCTTCAGTGAAAGATTTATCTGAGGCAGAATGAAGGAAAAGT